GTACCTGTCAGTGTACATGATGCGAACGCCTTTTAGGCTACAAATGATTGAAGTACAGAAACCAATTTTTTTCCAAAGTGTGTCAATACAACAACAAGACCTGTAATGGGATGTGTAATAGGCAGTAACAATTCTGAAGAATTCTCTCCTATGGTTGTTGGATTGTTGAGTGATTCCCCTTCATGGGGAATTCAATGCAATATTATTATTTTATTGACAAGTGTTTCGTTCCAGTTTGAGGTCCCTAGGACTTGTGCTGGGCATGACGTATAAATACTCTTTTAGGAAGGTGTACTGTACTTTGCAGACTTGTGGCTTCAGGGTCACATTGCTGAAGGTAACTATTATGGCAAATAATTGTTCTAGTTTAGTGAATTTTCATGGTTAGACCTGTAAACAGCACAGTATTAGGAATTGTGATATAATAAGAGCAGAATATTTATGGATAGCTTATGGTTTTATTTGCTTGAATGAATAAATAGTCATTTGGATCTTAACCTTTATATAAGCTAACTTCACAATATTGCTTTCTTGCCTATAACGGACGTCTCCTTCTTTATTTCAGTAACGTTGCTCCGGCCGTCTCTTCGATATCTGTGCTCACGAAGCTCTTCTCTGCAGCCTAGGTAAATGTCACATCGTAATCCCTCAGGAGTTTAATATTACATTTCATATATACATTGTTTGCTGCTGGAAATTGTTGTAATAGACTGGATGTATAAGGTGCAATCCATTCACTATTGAAACACAGCCTTGAAATGAATACGGATTACACAGCCTGTCTGCTTAGTACTTGTGGTAGTATATTTCCCCAATTTTTAATTGGCATAATGAATAGAAATGTCCAGGGGCGACACACACCCCTCCGGGCCCAATCATTTGCGGCTAGGGTATTCCCCACCCCTTTTGTGCGCACCCAGTTCGCTGAAGCCTGTGCAAAACTGTGACCGACACACACCCCTCCGGGCCCAATCATTTGCGGCTGGGGTATTCCCCACCCCTTTTGTGTCATGTAGCTCTGGGACTCTGACCGCAACTGATTGGGCTTGGAAGGAGTGTGCCAGTCACAGTTTTGCATGGGCTTGGGTGAACTTAGCTGAATTGGGTTGGCACCAAGCCCCCACACATCATTAATAATGATAGAGACACA